AGGGTCAGCCACAGGAGGGAATCACTAAGCAGCCTAGCTATTCGGATGCCATCATGGATGAGGTCCTTAAAGGGTGGAAGCACGCACTGGTCGNGCTGTACTGCCCTGTGATTACCCTGCTGCTGCCCTAAGCCCTGAGGACCTGACCAAACTCCAGGACGCCATCATGGATGAGGTCCTTAAAGGGTGGAAGCACGCACTGGTCTTTTGTGGGGTATTTTTCAGGTCAGGTATGCTCCTTGTGGACTGCAAGGATGAGCGGACCGCAGCATGGCTGGTGGATAAGGCACCAAACATTGAGGGATGGGAGGGGCCCGCGTTATGTACCAAGAGGGGGGAGGATATCCCGCCGGTGCATAATATCTCGGTGTTCTTCCCAAGATGCGCCGAGAAATCGGCTGAGTGTNGGATAAGGCACCAAACATTGAGGGATGGGAGGGGCCCGCGTTATGTACCAAGAGGGGGGATGATATCCCGCCGGTGCATAATATCTCGGTGTTCTTCCCAAGATGCGCCGATAAATCGGCGGAGTACGTGCTGGGGCTCATCAAGGCCCAGAATGAGGACATCCACACTGCTGCGTGGAAGGTGGTTTCATGCGGCGCCGAAGACAACGGTCTCAGGCTCAACCTGGGGATCGATGAGGCGTCGTATGTCAGCATCAAGAGGACCGGATTCACAATCACCTTCCGTTACAGTTATGTTATGGTGCGGCCGTGGCGGCATAAGACGACAGGCAGCAAGGAGTCAGAGTCCCAAGACATGCAAGTCGACGAGGCTACTGACTCCACTGCTGCCCCAGCGACCGAGTCGACCACGGCCCCACTGGGAGATCAGCTATCGGAATTAGCACAGGCACCAGCTCTTGTGAGCGCTCCCGGGCCAAGTGTCACCGACTACATGCGCACCACACAAGAGCTCCTAGCGGACATAAGCAGGCTCGAACTTGACAGAGAGGGCGAGGGTGAGGCACGGCTCTCGAACATCGAGGACGAGCCCCAACTATGAGCCCAACAGCGCTAACAGTAGCCCAGGTCAACTTGCATCACGCGGTGGCCGCCTCGGCGATCATTGCAAGCAGGTTTGCCACGGAGGACCTGGGAATCCTACTGATACAGGAACCGTTGACCTACAGAGGCCAGGTGAGGGGCCTAAATCATAACAACAATAAGGTAATTTGGGACCTTTCCTGCGAGAGGCCCAGAGCGTGCGTAGTGCTAAAGAATAATATTAATTACTTTTGCATTACAGAATTTCTTACACAGGATCTGGTAGCGGTCCAAGCTACCTTAAGGGTCAACGGGANGGCTGCGATGCGAACGCCCACAATATAGAGTGGGGCAGCTCGGACACAAACCGTAGGGGTGAGTGCTTATTAGAATATATTATCAGTGAAGACCTGTGCATCCATAATGTCGGTAATGAACCAACGTTCATAACTAGGGTCAGAGAGGAGGTACTTGACATCACTCTCAGCAACAGACTGGCCAGTCCTCTGATCGTTCAGTGGCGGGTCTCATCTGAGCCCTCACTATCGGATCACAGGATTATCCGATTTGAACTGGGAGCTGAGGTTCTGACAGGTCACCCAAAGAGGAACCCCAGGAAA